ACGTACGGTTCGCCCTTACTTTTCTATTTTTATTTTTTTTTTTTTTGCCCCCGTTTATTCGATACCTTGTTAAACTATGGATTTGAAATATAATCGTTACCATCCTAATTTAAGGAGCGTGATGTTTGATGCATATTACGCGTTAACGCTAAATATTCTTCGTAGTATAGATACATTATATATTGCACGCATATACATTGCTAGCTTAATTGTTGCGTGAAATCCATATATTATAAGTAAGTGTCGTTGTGGAGTTATGGATCAACGTGGTGATGGTGAAACGACACCACAAAGTCGAGTATTTGATTGTATTTTCACACCGTTGAAAAATTTTCTATAAATTATCGTATCGATACGTACTGTTGATGTTCGAGCCAACAACAGATAAAAGGACATTCTTCCAGTCAATTCTTCGTACTACCGTTTATCTTCTCAGTTGTACGTATACCGCGAATCGTTCCATACCGTTGGCTACGGTATGTATACATTGGATCACCCAAGACTAGAACCCAATATTTCTTTGAAGAGAAAATCCATTTTAAAATAATCCATTTTAACACAAAGGTAAATAATATTTTCGTTCCGTCAATTTCTCTCCCAAGCATTTTTTTCACTTCTTTAAACCATAACGTTTTGAACCATAATTTTTTTCTTTTTTTTTTTTTTTTAAGGTAGAAAAAAGGATGGGAATTGTAGAAATACGTAAATATTATATCGTAGATGCTATTCGAGTATCGTTAATATATATATATTATGCGAATATAGGATATACGAAGAGATTTATAGAATTCTTCTGATAATGAATTTAATTTTCGATACGATTTATAATTTTTTTTTCGTTCCATTCGTGTAAATATTACGTATAATTTTAATTCGTTTCAAATCGTGTACGAATGGATCGATATACTTTCCTCTTTTTTTTATCGCTAAAAACAAAGGAAAAAAGTTTCGAGTTCTAGTTTTAGGTTTTCTCGTTTATCCTTACTTGTACGTAGTTACGAGTGTTACACACGTCCATACACGTTCATCACGCTATATACATGTAATATGGGAAATTATACGTTAATGAAAATTGCGAATAGCGTATGAATTTAAAGTTTCAGAAAAATTAAAAATATATATTATATATTATATTAAATGGCTATAACAGGTTATAATTGGATACAAAAGACGAAATTTCTCGAAATACAAAAATTATTCGGCATAATTGCAGGATGAAAGGGAACAAATGATGATTTTACGTTGCGATAATACGTTGTCGATCGAAAAGCTTTTAATTTAATTATCGTACGATAATTAATTGCGAAAGTTGAAAAATTCTAATTCGAAAGCGAGCAAAGCGTTTGATGATGTTTCGTGACGATAAAATCGTGCGAATGACACGATTCGCGCGAGTAAAAATATATAATTTTAAGCTCGGTTCATAGATAGAGATAAGAGACGATACCGTAGTACCGTGATATTTACACCGGTGGATAGAAAGATTGGAAAATGAAAGAACGAACGGTTTCAAAAATTATAAGTTATAGACGTGAATTTGAAATTTCCTTATACCGTATGGGATGATTTATCTGCCGCGTATTTTGAACGAGTTCGGTGTGCAGGCCCTGTATGTTGCAGGTCTGATACGCGCGCGTTCATGGGAACGCGATTGAATTTTTCCACGAGTAAAACAGAACGTAAAAAAAAAAAAAAAAAGAACGTCGTATCGTATTTGAATTTTTATATTACGGGCAACCAACGAATGCGTATGCATGGAATTTGTTTCGATCGTTCGATTATATTAATTAGGTGATTGCTATTTAATACGAATCCGTCCGTCGTGTATATCGACCTGCCTTTACGTTCATTCGCACGTTTGTCGAAATGCCGAACTTTAGGCACTTTTGGTCCGTCTATCGAACGGCTATACATATAAGTAAAAAGCGAAGCTACGAATGCGAATTTCTTTATTCGATATTACCATCCAACTCATTTTGTAATCACTCGTCGCAATATCAATCTTCGTATATACGGGATACGTCGTTATCGTGTATCGGGAATGAATGGGAACGGATATTTCCGAACGAAAACGAATAATTGATCGATTAACTAATATATGACGTTAATATGACGTACCTTTCTTTCTTTCTTTCTTTCTTTTTTTCTTTTTTTTTCTTTTCCTTTTTCAACGTATCGTTCCAAGTATATCGTGCAATATAAAAACTGCATTTTCCTCGATCGAAAATCTTTGTCCTATCTACTCGACGATACTCTCTCGCGATTCGTTGTGTTACCATCACTCTCGCCAAATGTCCTAGCACTTTTTTCGTCGTTGTTCGAATTTAATAAAGGGAGAGCAAACTGTCCGACTTCTGTTTCGATCTCGAAACTTTTGGAGAGAGGGGGAGAGAGAGGGGGGAAGAGAGAGAGAGAGAGAGAGGAGGAGAGAGGAAGGGAAGAGAGAGAGAGAGAGAGAGAGAGAGAGAG